AAGACCCTGTCCCATATGTAATCCCATTGGTTGACTATAGTTTTGTCCCACCTCCTGCCCGCCTAAGCATGTTCCCATTCTCTCTACCTTAGCCTCACATGGTTTTACACTATAAAAGTCCCTGGAAGAGACAGCTTCCTGGAGAACTACCCGCTTGGGCCCCCCTCCTGTCCCTCTCTTGGACAGGAGATTTCTTTCTCTCAATAAATATATTCTGCTCATAAAAAAAGAAAACAAAATACATAAAAAGTTGTCCTGTCTTTCTTCCTTGGAATTAATATACCAAGATGTGCATAGTAACTAAAGCAATCTAGATTCAATGCACATGCCCTCAAAATTATAATATTTCTTGTTATAGAATCCTGAAAGTCGTACAAATAAGCAATTTGGAGCAACATGAATAGATGGAGATATTATCCTTTTAGATACCATTTGTCTGATTTACATCTTTGTCCTTCATTAAGAAATTTGGATTTTCATGTTAATTTTAGAAATATGCTATTTGTAGATAATATCTGTATTGATAACCATCAATATGCAAGTTATACACAAAACTCAAGTAGAACAATATTTTTGGTCATACATTGTTATGCTGAATCACATATTTCTTTAGGATTATTTTAACCAGAAAAGCAAGTATTATTATTTTAAAGTACATAGGCTATTCTCAGGGAAAGGAATACCAGGCATTGTTGCTAATGCTCCCCCATCACTCAGTATGTTCATTGTGAGAGAAGACTTTGCTTTCCATTGAGGAGATTTGACTAAATGTAGGCACCTTTCTCTTGGATAAACAACGGGTCCCTTTCAGGTGGGGCTCTAAGCCCAGGTTTTAGGGTACCAATAGCCTATGGCAGTGTCATAGGGTAAAGGGTTTCTTATTTTTTAGCCTTAAATTTGGACTGAGAGATGCATTTTTTATGGGAAAGAGCATGAGTAAAAACATTTATAGAGGAAAAAGATTTTAAAGGATTTAACAAACTTCAAATTGTATGTTCTATAGAAACTTCAAAAAGTAAGAGATAAACCTGACTCTGACCCCGTTTTGTGTTCAGCTATCTGAACATAGTCACCTACCTTACTAGGATTTCTATAATAAATTAAAGATGCAAGTCAGTGTATTTTGTGGTATGGAACTAGATACAGATCTCAAGCTGCACTTTTTAAAAATCTGGAAATAGCTTTTTTAGAAGGGACTGCCAGTAAGCAGAACCTTGGTCTATGTTTATCCACTTGCTTTAAAATTGGGCTTTAATCCAGACTACCTTAAGTTTCATGATTTTTTAAAATCCTTTTATCATAAAGCAAAGAGCTTTATAAGTTCAAAGTGTCAATAATATTGCAGGCTTTTGTCACTGTATTACAGAATGATTAAATTTATAATGTTATAAATATATTAAGATACTCTTTACCCTTTAACTGTTACTGAACATAAGTCAGTAATATGGCTGGTTCAGTACCATTAGTCCATTTTGTATCATATAATACCGTATTGATTTAACAGTTTTCCTTCTTTTAGGGCTGGGGAGGTAGTTCATTGATTTAAGCGCCTGCCTTGCTAGTGCAAGGTCCTGAGTTCTGTCCTCAGTACCACAAAAGAAAGTTTTCCTTTTTTCTCATTGACACTTGGAATGAAGCAGTTTTTGTTGTTGTTGTTGTTTATTTGTTTGTTTTTCCTGTACTAGAGATTGAACTCAGGACTTTACGCTTGCCAGGCAAGCACTTACTCTACTGAGGTGTCTCCCCGGCCAAAGCAGTTATTTTTAAAGAACAAAATTGTTTAAAATAGCCAAATAGTGGAAGAAAACATTAATTTGCTTTGCTTTGAAAATAGTAATTAATGAACTGAACACAAGCTTACCATACAGCATGTAGATTCAGAAGACAAAAGCTTTGTTAAGAGAAAATGCTTATTTATAGGTTTATAGGGTAGCATTTCTACTCAGGAGCATCATGATCCTTCTGATTTCCTAAAATTACACCCCTAGTTAAATGAATCAGCTGTGTCGGTGTAGCCCTTGTTGCTGAGAAATTGTTTTTCATTAGGTCTAGAAAACACAGTAATGAAATCAATTCGTACTTTGAAGAGGAGCTTCAAAGTCCATGCTGCATGAGTACAGTTTTACATTATTCCTTATTTTGCTTTTCTGTAGAATCTTTTCCTTTATTTCTGTTTTATATTGTTGTTGCTGCTGCGTGGGTACTGTTTCTCTTTTGTACTGGTGATCTTACAAGTTGTTGGTGGTGAGGCTTCCCCACAGATGCTTCCAAGTGTGTGGTCCTCTCTGCAGTCTTTAGGAGCAGGCACTAGGACTTTTTCTGTTTGGGTCCTCTTGTCCTCTTTGGATCTTGGTTGGTAGTCAGTAGCAGCTGTTCCTGCTCTAAAACCCACCCACTGAAAGCCAGTTATCCTAATACCATCCCTCCTGGACTTAGATTATAATAAAAAGTTAATTTGTCTTTTTGAAAAGCAACTTTATTTTTTTCTTACATGTTTCATTATTGTTTACTGATGTGAAAAGTCCTAAACACAATTAAGAATAGTACAGATTAATTTGTTCTCCACTAGTTAGTATTTTGTTCCACAAAAATCAAGGAAGAGAGTTGTTTCAACAACAGCAGAAACAATTCAGATACAGAAGTTGACATTTTAGGTCTTATCAAAATTGAAATGCATCGTATGGCAGTTTTATGTCAGGAATTTCTGAAGCAGTTAGAGAGTGAGCCAGATGGCTTTGATTTCTATTTTAAGTTTAGAGATTTAAGTTATTGCTTCTTGATGGTGGCATAGTGTAGCTGTGGGTATGCTATAGTCCAGGTAGATACCTGATGAAAAATATCTAAGAATGCAGAGATGTCAGTTATTGCCATCTCAGGCTACAACACAGAAATAGCCATACTCTAAGATAAAAAGGGGGAGACTCTTTCTTCCATCCTGTTTAATAATCAAGACTGGAATGCTTATCAATTCTTACATTACACAAGTAAAAGACTCAGGGTAAGCTACCCTGAAAGTGCAAACTAACTCTGTGTCCTGCTTAAAATTGCTCAGCTATAGCAGTAGTAGTGGGACATAGCATGAGCCTCTGGGCAAAAGGTCCATTTGCATGGGGCTCACTGGATCATTTTTGAAGCTGACATTTGGTCAGTTATTACATGGATTGAATATGAACTGTGGGAGGTAATAAGAACATAGTAGGACAGTCTGTTAACTTTATAACCATTTCAAATAGATCATTTACATACTTTGGGCTGGGGAGATGGCTCAGTAGAATAAGTGCTTCCCTGGCAAGTGCAAGGGCCTGAGTTCAACTCCAGTTCTGTGCCCCCTCCCCCCCAAAAAAGCAGAGCATACTCTAAGGGAGCCAAAGGCATGGCCATAATGGCCATGTACTTGAAGGTAGTAGACAGAAGTGAGCCAGAATGACATTCCTCCAAACCTCAGGTTCAGACTCTGTGACTATGCATAGAAGAACTGTCCCAGAGAAGGAAGGAATTCTTGAAGTCCATAATGAGCTCTGGATGGAGTTAATGTCAGAGGGCCAGAGGAAGATGAGCACTAAGCCCTCATTCTCAAGGAAAAAGTGGGTTGCTCAGAGTGACTCTCATCTGAAATTGTGTTCCACCTATAGTGTACAAGAGGGAGGAACCTTCCTGACCTCCATGATAGTTGAGGCCTTCTATAGTTTGGTAAACTGATGGCTTTCTGCTATACAAGTCTATGAATTTATAGGAGGTGGCTAACATTCTAATGAGTCATGTTTAATGCATGAACCTGTATGATAACTGCTTCTGTGAGCCATGATTAATGGAAGATAAATCCAGGACTGTGGAAGTGAGCTTATAGACAATTTATTTTGAAGTAATAGAGCTATAAAATACATAAATTGTATCATTTTCCAACAGTGACTTAACTTGGCATTTTCTATTTAATCTTCTCTGTGTATTGTGTGTATGTGTCTGTGTGTGTCTAACTGTCTTTGTAGATGCTTTTGATGTTTCCTGCTGGTGGGCTGGCTGACTAAAAGTTAAAGTCCACTTATTGTTAGTTGCAGGATGAGGAGCGCAGGCGTCAACAACAGTTGGAAGAGATGCGCAAGCGGGAAGCAGAAGATAGAGCAAGACAAGAGGAAGAACGTCGGCGTCAGGAGGACGAGAGAGTGAAGCGAGATGCTGAAGAAAAGGTTATGGTCCTCTAAGGGCAACTAGAATTTTACCAAATTAGCCTGAACATTATTGATTGGCCAGGGCAAAGGGAGCTAGAAAATGTGTATCTCTAAGATACACAAGACAGAACAGGGCCGGACCCCCAGCTTTTGATATTGGACCAAAAACTCTAACCCGTCTGGCCCGCCTACCTCTCTTCTGGACTGTCTCCAGACTCCCTTGCCTTCTGAACTGGTCTCCCTCCAACTCCTGAACTCCTAGGTCTGCATAGCGTGAGCCTCTGGGCAAAAGGTCCATTTGCATGGGGCTCTGATCCTTACTGGACAGGGTCCAGCTCATTTTTGTGAAGCTGACATTTGTTCAGTGATTACATGGATTGAATATGAACTGTGGGAGTTAATAACATAGTAGGACAGTCTGGCAACTTTATAACTATTTCAAATCATTCACTAAAAATTACTGGATTTTGATCAGTGGTGAAGAGCACAGGTGGCTTATAAAATCAATATACAAAGACAAGTTAGTATGTACTCTGATAAATATTTTGAGTTATTTATTTCCATGTATATTTTATTCAAGGATTCTTCAGTTGACATTTAAAACGACAGCTGATGTTGACTGTGTGTTTTAGCTGAGGCTTCTCCCAGAGTAGAAAGCTGTGTTGTAAGCCTGGGCAGACTACTTGTCCTCAGGGGGTGCTTGTTATGTGGCTTGAGAGAAGCTATTCTTGGTTACTTCCCTTCCATGAAGGTAGAAGCTTTGACTGTCAAAATGTCTGACAGGGAAAAGTAGTTATTAATAATTCTTTCCTCTGTAGTGCAGTGAACTATGCTAATGGAACCCACCCCCAAAATAAAAACTTAAAACTTAGGAAACTTTTTAGTGATGGAATTGATTAGGCTACAGGACAATCTCAGAGTAAGGTTGGTAGATGTAATGTGGCTTCTTACAGGAAAGCAGAATGGGTACTGTGAGGTCACACACCTGCACCGGAAGCTGATTCTCCAGGTGTGTCCTGCTACTCCTGCTATAGCTGAGCAGTAAGCAGGCCACCCAGTGAGTTTGCGCTTTCAGGGTAGCTTACCCTGAGTCTTTTACTTGTGTAATGTAAGAAGTGATGAGCTTTCTAGGAAATCCAGTTTCCAGGATTTAAACCACTTGGTTTTGAAGTTTATGGTGGTGGTGGTGGTGGTGTTTTGCTGTTTCCTGAAAGCCCCTCTGAGTGTGGGAAGGATGTCTTCTCTGGGTCAGTGCCTGCCTGGCTGCTCCAGTCCTGCCTGGTGCTCATGGCTATAATTAGGACCACTCCTGGCCTTGCTCAAACCTTGATGGGACAGCCTGGACATTATCTCAGAGCCATGCACATTGAAAGACAGGGCAGGCTGTTTTCTGTGTAAGAAAATCTTGGGTTAATTTTTCAGTATGCATTCTTACAACTTAAGATGATGTCAAATACACTTGTAACTGCTTCTATAATTAAATGGTCACTGTAAAAAGAAGCTGAAAGATCTATTTTTAATACAAAATGTCCAGAATTCATGGATTTGCATTGTAATAGAAAAATGTGTGCTCATTTTCTGGGTAAAGTCTCCTTGGTCATGTAATTGTATCTGCTCTTACTGAAGAGGGCTTTGGTCTCTTCTTACAGTGTTACCAAGCAACTGTTTTTCATGTAACTGCAGGACTCTTGACTGTGCTGTTTAAAGCCACAGAACTCATTCTAGTTTGAATGTCTAAATCAAGAGAATATTTTCTGCAGGCATAGATTTTTAAAATGCCTTTCCTTCAGGATTTCTTAACATAGAGCAAGAAGATAAAGCAAGAACTTGGATCTGGGGTAAAGATCAGGCTGGCGCTTCCACTTCTCCTTTTCTCTTTCAGAAGGTGAAGGGGAACCATTGTTCGTTCACTGTGTGCCTGTGTGGCTGTAGAAGGCATAGGAAAAGAATGCAGTATAAAAGCTAAAGTAGGGCCTAGAAAAACTGACCTTAGTCCCAGCAAGGTCCGAAAATTAGTCCCCTTTGGTTGGATGAGTTGAAAATTCACCGTCCTCCATTTTGTAGCATTAAACATTGACTAAAGGCAGTTTATTCTGTGTGATCTTTCATCCCCTTTCGTATTTGCTTTTTTCTTGTGCTCTGGAACTCTTGTCAATCTTTAACAAAACTGTGCTGTTATCTTTTTTAATGTTAAAAGAATTTTAACACTGTCAACTGTAGTTTGTGCAGATATATGTCAGAAAAAATGTACAGTACATGTCAAAATATATTTAAATATAGTATCTTGTTGCTGTTGCTATTAATGCTTGGCTCTTAATTTTCTGTTCATCAGGGAGTTTATTGAGATTTGAAATATAAATTAAGAATTATGGAAAGCACATTGTTAGATTGTTCCTTTGAGAAAATGAGTGATGTTACTTACAGTATATGGTTTCCTATTAAAACACAGCAGTAACAGGTAAGTTATACTACCAAACAGAAGAAGAGAGGAAGAGGAAGAAGACAGGGAAAAAAATCTGAGGCTTCTTAATACAAGTCTAGTGCCTAACTCGAAAGGGGCTTCAGAATTGATTTCTTCTGTGCTTTTGAGCAGTTTCATATCAGTTAATCCAGAATAGTGACTAGTATGAGTGCACTTGCAAGTCTCAGGAAGAGAACATTTCTGAATTCACCTACCTCTTCTGTTGCAGTTAATTTTGGCAGTTAAATGTGGCATATTGTGGACCACTTGTCAGTGTGATGATGAGGACTGATGATCCTTGTAAAGGCCCACTGAGCCCAACAGTCCCCTTCTGACCTCTGACCTTTGCACTTTTGTCTATTCCCGCCTGCAGAGGCGACAGGAAGAAGGGTATTACAACCGCCTGGAAGCTGAGAGGCGCAGACAGCACGACGAGGTTGCACGCAGGTTGTTGGAGCCTGAGGAACCTGGGCTATGCCGACCTCCACTTCCACGGGACTACGAGCCCCCAGTCCCGTCCCCTGTGTCAAGTGCCCCTCCTCCCCCACCACAGCGAAATGCCTCCTACCTCAAAACTCAGGTCCTCTCCCCAGACTCGCTGTTCACGGCCAAGTTTGTTGCATACAATGAGGAGGAGGAGGACTGCAGCCTAGAAGGTCAGGATAAGTATGCTAGCACAAGAAAGTCTCAGGGGGACCTTCTTTCTGCCAACCTTAAGCCACAGCAGCCCCCCTACCAGCCACGTCCAGCCTCCGATGGCATCTTTCTCTCCAACTCATTCCAGCTACCCACTACCAAAGCCAACAGTATGGCTCACAAAATGGGCCACCCCCCACCCCCTCCCAAAAAACCAAACTTCTACCATCCCGGCCACTATAAAGGTAGATGTAAAAGATAGAATTCAAATCAAACCCTATCTTGTCTTGATGATTGGAACTTTGGAATCTGTGCACTTGCCCCTGGTATGCTCCAGTGAGATTATATCTGCTTTGGAGTTTAAATCTCACTTGATCACTTTCAGCATGGTGATCGCCCTCTACCTACAATTGTGATGTCTGTGCTAGTGCTCTATTGATGTCTTAGTGCTCTGATTTCTTCAGTACTTTAACAAATTACATTTTGTTGATCAGCTGACAGTAATCAGCTCTTTGCCATTATTCCTTGAGTCACTTGGGGTACTGTTGGTCTTGGCTTTCATTTTCTACCTTTTCACATAATTCTTATTTTTGGTTAAGTGCCTTTTCATACATTTTAATGCCTCTAAACACCTAATATTAAAGCCATATTTTATGTTTGCATTACTTAATATGAGTAGAACTTTGGGTTCTGCTTCAGGTGGGCTTTTCAGTGACTCTTGTCCTTAATGGTGGCTTAGTAGGCCAGTTAAATGTCTGCCAAACTGGCTAACAGCACAGTTTGGCTGCAAGGGCCACAGACCCTTTTAGTCCTGAAGCACCTCCCACACCTTCTCCCCTCTAGCTGGTTCTATTGCTTTCTGTTAGCTCATACTCATGAGTGCCACATAGTTCTGCAGCACACCTTAAAGGCCTGCTGCTGCTGTCATGCAGATCCCTCCCCATAGACTTCCAGTGTTAGAGCCCTCTTGCTTGGTCCAAGGTAGAGCTGCTGCAATATAGATTCATCAACTGGCTTTAAATAGCCCTAGATGTCAGTCTCAGGGTAGAGCTAAGTTATATCCAGATTCATATTTCCCATTAACCTTACTGTCAATGAAATTGGAAGTCTGGTACCAAGCATCCTATAACAGTAGCATTTTAATGAGGAGAAACATCTTCTAAATTCTGTGTGATTCCATACAGATAATATGTGGGCAAGCTGAGGTTCAGAGTAGCCTCTTACAGGAAAATGAGTTTTCCAGCACCCTTTTATTTTCCTACCTGAATCAGAGCTTTCATCTGCCTAGAAGACTCTGTATAGAGTATTTAAGTTGAGTTGCTCTTGAAGCCAAAATTGAATCTTTGTAAGTTTTCTGCTGTAACTATTACAACTACCTAGAATTTGGTTCATTTTAAAGACATTATGGAATGACAATTTTGAAATAAGCTATCAGTTATTTATCAGATTCTACAAGCTGAATTACATTTTTAAGTGTCACAGTTACTACTGATCCTTACTTTCACACCTAAAGTATCACTTAGGAGCACGTTATATACGATATCTGTTGCCCAGCCTCTTTGAAGGTCTTTTGTGAGGCCTATAGCACAGCATAGTGCATTTGCCTTATCCTCTCATCTCACCCCTGTACCTCACCTCAGTGCTAGCCCCTCTCTTCTGAGCACTTTGGGAGCTAGTACGGATGGTACTGAGTCTCTTCCACTGGCTGTGTGAGGAACAATTCAGATATCACTCAAAATGAATGCTGATTTCAAAATAGCAACATTTTTTGTGTGTTTTTTTAAAAAGATGCATCACTAAAGTTCTTTAGAAATTATTTGTAGTTGGTAGTATTCATGTAGAGTTTTTGATGTTCTAATGAAGAGTAAAAGTTGTGGAGATTTTGAAAAATTGATGTTTACCAGTGGAAGAAAAAAGTACCATTCTCAACAAAGCTCAAAAGATACAACGCAGTATTTTTTAAAAACAGACAAAACAAAAGGTTTGAAATTCAAATTGGAAAGAACCTACTATGCAAAAAGCTTCATCGAGGCCCCTCATGGATTGCCTTAACATAGGAAGTCTTTATGCTGTGTCTTTTGAGTGCTTGCTGGCACTGTCTCCCATCTGTGGCAGCCTGGACGCCTGAGCTCATAGCCAGCCAGGTGCTTTACAGAGGCAATGTGCTGTGTCTGCACATGGCCCATCAGTTCTATAGGGAAGGCTTTTTTATATGGAAGAAAATTCATTTTCTTGAAAATTCGTTTTCATGCAACTTGACTAAAAGAGTAGCTTTTAGTGTAAAAATACCATAATGATTTTGTGGCTGACTTAATTCAATATTAAGTGCTATCACTTTTTGCTGAATATTTTGAGCATTCACTACTCCAGTCTATATTATAAGCACAAGATTTTTTTTTAAATGTATTTAGTACAGGGTCTATCGGGTCCCACTACACAGATCAGACTCATAGTGATTCTCCTGTTCATTGCGAGTCCAGTCTGTGTAGCGTGACCCTGTAGACCATATACTAAAAAAAAAAAAAAAACCACACACAAAAAGTTCGGAATAACTTCATTCACTTGAGGCTTTATTTGCCCTGAGTGATTTTGTAGGCAAATTCTTAGTGTCAGAAAAATTTGCTGACCACATTCAAGTATATCTTCTGTGGGTTTATTGCCTATTTTATCTGACTTTGGCTGCTTTCTATTTATCCATTAGCGTTGCCACTGTAAGGCAAATGCTCAGTAATGTGACACCTATGGAATACAGTGTGTAAGTTATTCTGGTCACAAAGAGATGCGAATTTTCAAATTAGTGGATCTTTCATCTCATATGAAGAGCTTTCTGCTTTCTTATTCCCTCAGTAATTAAAGGTGTCTTATGTCTGCTTGGGTACTCATCTTTATCAATGAGTAAAATTTTGCAAGTAATCAAATACTTTAACTTGTACTTTTTCTCTTTTGGAAAAGGACCACACTTGTATTCCGGGTCTGCTGGGACAGTTACTGGCACTCACGATGCTGCTCGAGATCTGAGAGAGAAGCGTGCTAGAAGGTACTCAAGGTTGTGTGGGCCATGTCTGGGACTCATGGCTGTCCTCATAGCGCAAGTCATTTTTAACTCATTTGAAGCTAGTTGAAATTTCAAAGGCTTCATCCGCAGCTCAGATGTTTCCCATTATACAAAGTCATGTGAGCAAATAGGCTTTTTAGTCTGTGTTGCTAATACAGTTCTGTTTTAGACAATGATACAGGTGCTGGACTTACTGGCCAGGACATTAGTAGTAGCCATGTTGCTGCTTATTTCCAATAAGGCAAGCTGAAAATTCAAAGGAAATGGCCAAGGATCCCTGCTCAACCATGTTAGGCCAACCTTGATGATGCACAAAAAATAAATTGAAAGGGTATATACCGACTGTTAAAACAAGTTGAACTAAGCACCATTCTGTAATTAATAGGTGTATTTGAAGACACATACTTAAAAGATTCATAAAAATGCCGTATTTTTGCAAACTTATTTAATTGGTGAGAAATACTCAGTTGCTGAAATTTGACTTGTTTTGAAAATTGGATATGACTGGGGAAAGTTAACATACATTATAGTAAGGAGAACATTTTTTACAATCCTGGTTTAATTATAGGAAGGATGATAGCAACATTTAACAAAGAACGAATCTTTCTCACTGAAAATTTTAGTTTTGCGCAAACCTACCTAGTTATGAGGAAGTCAGTTCTATTTTGATGAGTGATTGTTTTGTATTTCCCTCTTGCCCAGCCAAGATGCAGATTTGCCTGGAAGTTCTGGAGCCCCTGAAAACCTGACATTCAAAGAGCGCCAGCGCCTTTTTTCACAAGGTCAAGATGTATCTGATAAAGTGAAAGCTTCTCGTAAATTAACAGAACTGGAAAATGAACTAAACACAAAGTGAGGATAATCCACGGCCACTGTGTCTGCCCAGGTTCCCTCAGCATGGGTGTGCAGGTGTAAGCCTGAAGAGGAGAGGGGTGGTTGCATTTCTAAGTGATTTCTAATTCCTGTTTCTAAAATTGTTGCCATTTAGAGATGTTGTGGTTCCAAGAATTTTTGTTTTACTTTACCAAGAAACTGGCATTTGTACAATATGAATGCCATCTGATTGCTAAGTGACCTGACTCATTTGACATATCATTTGTTTAATTTCTTTTTCGATTCTTAGGCACAGAGGGGCAGAGTAGAGAACAGTAGAGGTAATAGAGTGCTTCCTCTCCCATGTTTTCTCCTGTAATTCTTATAAGGACTGCAGATTAAGTAGTTCTATTTCTGTTCTTTCTCAAAAGCTTCACTTCGACTATCAGACAGAGTAGTTGAACCACCCAGACCACCATGCTCGCTTGTAGCACAGCCTTGTTTGCAGGACAGAGAGCATGGGAGGCTGCTCCTGCGTCACTGAGGGTTCCCACCCCAGGGTGCTGGCCGTGGTGTACACAGCCCATCTCTCTCCTGACCATGAGCTTCCTGATCAGTTCTCAATGTGTGATTACATTAAATATGTGATTTTCTAAATTCTCAAAGAAGAAAATCTAGAGGATTTAATATTAGGGGATTTTATTTTTTATATGTGATGAGTTATTGTTAGACTAACAGATCATTGGTGAAATTGAAGATGAAAGATGAAGTCATGCTAGAAAATGTACTAATATTTCAGATACTTCAAGGAATCTATGAGATCTGTTTAGCTGAACAGTGTTCATGTGACCAGCATCAAAATATCAGTGGAGAATGAGAAATTCATAGGTGACACTCGAGCACTACTGTCAGTCAGAAATTTTAAATTTACAAAAGCAATTTGCATCGATGTTCTGTCAGGAAAGAAATTCAATTATTATGCCATCTGTAATTTAAATAGTTCAAGAATAACTCATGACAGTGTAAGCTATTTTTTTTACAATATATTAGAGTTATTTAATTTTAATTTGTGAATTATGAGTTACCCCTGTCATGTCTGTGGGTAAGTGGCAGATGTTGGGGAGATGAACCTCAGTTTGCTTATATTGTGTGATGTTAAAATGGTATATTACTTTGTGATTTCAAGCACATCTTCTGTTGGACCAAGCCTTGATGGGGTCCAGATGATATTTCTGTACCTATTTTTCTCTTACAAGTATGTATGTCAGGAAAATATGCACACTTTCAAATGAAGAATACAGGCATTTGCTGGCCTAGAAACCACTTTTAATATGAGTTGTATGATAAATCATTGAAAGTGCAAGTGTAAATATTTTTTATATCTGTCACAATTCTTATTTGAAAGTGTGCTTTTACTGTTTCCTCTGTAAGAGTCCAGTGGTCCTGAGAGTTGATGAAGGATATGCACGCTTGCTGCAGGAAAAAGCAAGCTCCTCCTGGTTTCTCAAGAGCATTGGTGGCCTTAGGGTGGCAAGTTCATGCTTTCCCTAGAGAAGAGGACACAGGTGATCATTGTGTTCATAGTGAGAAAGGCAGACACACAGGTACATGCAGATTCCTGTGTGATTATAAAAGCCATGAGGAAGTGGATTTGGCCATCCCTGGATAGTGAAGTCAAATGTGAATATGTGTAAAACTGCTTTTCATAATGTGCATTAATTACTATGGGAAAAACTTCCAAACTGCTGTAGTTTTCCATTTCTACTGTATTTCGGTTGCAACTTATTTTTAATAAACTTTGTATGTATTTAAGTGTATCTGCTATTGTTTTAAAAGTGCTGACAAAGTTTATATTTGTAGGATCAGCCTTCCTCTCCCTTGTTTCCATCTTTCCACCCATTCGTTAAACAATGCTGAGTATCACTCCATGTCAGGCAATGGTTTCCATTTCTGGGGATATATGTTCGCCTAGGGACAGCTGACCAGTGCTCAGGAGTGGCTTTCACACTGTGCCATGCAAGAGCTTAAGAGTTTGAGGAAGGAAAAACTTAAGAGACTGGAATTCATACTGATTCAGCTCCATCTCACAACCTCTGTTTCTGTGGCTATTACAGAAATACTGATTCTGACCAGTGGTGCCCTGGCGTCTGGACAACATAAAAAAGCAATAAAACCCTTGGTGATTTTCTGGTGTACCATTGTACAAAAATTTTCCCTGGCTTTGCTGGATGGAAAACTGATCCCAGAGATTTAGTTACACATTTAAGATAGCATTAATCAAAATGAAATTGAATGACTTGCCGAAGGAAAATAGACCCAAAAAGTGATTTTTTTTTCTTCTACTATTTCATATGTAATCCCAAAGGTTATACTACACTTAAGATTGGAATATGGAAGCGTTACTCATTCAACAAAGCTTAAGGTGCCTATTCTGCTTTGAGCATGTGTTTACTCAGTATTCCTAAAATACTGAAGTATTCCTAGAATTAATTCTTTGGTAGAACACAGAAAAATATACTTCTTGAATAAGAATGTAACTTCATTGTGTGAGGAAGAGATTTAAGGTATTGAGGGTTAATAGAAGGAGGTTTATCGTACTGTGGAGATGGTAAACTACCTGGAAAAAACGACAAGAGGTGATGGCCAGAGCCTCAGGAATCACAGCGGATACCACATGGGAAAACTTTTTTTCCGTGTTTGTGTGTGTGTGTTGTTTCTGTGTGTTTCTTTTGTGAGAGAATGTTCCTAAATTACTGTGTTACCTCGAGTGGGCTGAAACTCAAGTCTTCTAGGGCTCTGGGACTGCAAGTCCAGCAAGAGGGCCTTTATGTGCATGTAAGAGGTTACTTTGTATATATCATGCAAGAGGAATCAGGTTTGAAAGGCTTGTACTGTAGGTAGGTATTTCTGAGGAAGGTTGGGATCCAGCATGAGACTTAAAATGTCATTCCTTCCTTCCCCACACCTCTTTGCTCTCCTGTTTTGTACCCCAGGCTGGCCCTCATTACTCCACTGCTCCATCACCCTGCGCCCCTCCCCCAGTTTCCATCCCATTTGGCCCCTGACCCCGCACGCATTTATGCCTGGCTCTGCCCCCAGTTGCCATGGCCTGCTATGAGAGGAGGCCCTCTAGCTGAGGCAACTTTACTCACTGTGGTGATCATCCCATAAGAAGGGCTTCTCCAATCTACAAGCCTTCCAGCTACAACCTCAAGCCTAGGTAAGTCCAGAGCTGTGGGGTCGGGACCTATCCTATCCCAGGGTCTTGGGTGTGGGAGAATTTAGGTGGGTTTGGAGGTTAGACTGAATTGTCAGTGATACCCTATGTGGCTTGGGGGCAGAGCCCAACCGAGATCCACCGTTCCTTTTAAGTCTAGCACTGAGGAGGGGGAGGCAGTGAGCTATTCGTCCTCCCACCCACCACCTCCCTTGACCTGCCACCTGAGACCTTGTACCTACTTTGATCTCCCCAGTAGTTGGGGATACGATGGTTGAGAAACAACAGTTATAATCCTAGTGTTGCCCTTTTGGAATACTCAGTTGCATACAAACATCACTAAAATAAACAATAGATATAAATCTGACAATGTTAGTATGACAAAGGCTGTGAAAAGGGCTTCCTAGTGTCTGTAACACAGATCCAAAGAAGCCTAGGAGTATTTCCTGGGTGATGATGGCTGAAGTGCCTTTTGGTGGTAGAGCAGTCACTGTCCAGCAATGGGACTAAGGGTTGGGGAGAGGCATCTCCTGGAGAGGTGATGCCAGGTAAGACCTGGGGAGCATAGAGGCTGAGAACAACAGAGCCAACCAGGATCCTTCAGGATTTTGATCATGAGGGTCTAGCCCTTGCTTTCCTATAATTACAATACTTAAGGTCTGACTCTAGTATCTCAGAAATTAAGTATATTGAAGACAGGCCCTTAACATGGCAATAACATTCAAAGACCATGGGGGTGGGTCTTGAGGAAACAGACGAGCCCTTTCAAGGTTAGAATAGTAATAACTGGCCATAACTTTGTAAAGGTCTGAGGAGGAGCAAAAGATGTGATCAGATCTATATTTCAACTACCACATAGTTGAAGGTAGTGGGGTTTTTTGGGGGGGTTGCTGGGAGTGGGCATGGAAGGCCATGTGAGGTCTTTGCCAGAGAAAACATTCAGGGTGGAATGTGAGGAGCTAGGTGGACCTGTTCCCCAACAAAGCAGGCAAAAATGGTGAAAATTATAGCAAGCAATTATGTAAGGCCTCTGGCAGTTGTCCTAAGGGCATTCAATGGAAAAACAAATTCAAGAAACTCCAGAAGGAAAGCAGAAGGTCTCTTCTGCCCCCACTGCAGTTCAACTTTGGAGGGCCTTCTCCCTATGGGAACAGCCCTCAGCCTTTTGCATTCTTCCAATAGAGGCGAAGAGGTGAGCCTAGGGACTCTTCCACCCAGCTCCCACGATAGGAGGGTGAGCTCTACCCCAAGAACACTGAGGTCCAGTTGCTGAACCCAGCTCAACTGTAGGATACAAGCTTCACAGTAAGAGTGACAAGCAAAAAAGCCTAGAGGCTGTGCCCTGTTCCCTCAGAGCCTTCCCAGGAAGACCAGAGGTCCTCAGAACAACCTGGAGCTCTCCTGCCAGGCTGGCTGTATTCAGCACAATTGAGAGCATCAATCTAAAGGCATTCAATAAAAGCCACAAACTAGTTACTAGGGCTGCCTTAGTAAAATGGTACAGTTGAGGATGCTTAAGCAGTGATAGGGGCATTGGCCAGGTTAGCTTCCAAGTCATCTGTCCTTGGCTTACATACAGATAGCCACCTTTGCACTCCATGCTTATATATTCTCTGTGCACATGCCTCTCCCTTGTCTCTGTGTCCAAATGTCCTCTTAAAAGGAAACCAATCAGATTTAGTTAAGACCCACCCCCATGGTCTTTGAATGTTATTGCCACGTTAAGGGCCTATCTTCAATATCTTAATTTCTGTGATACTAGAGTCAGACCTTAAGCATTGTAATTACAGGAAAGCACAGGCTAGACCACAAGCCATCAAGGAGACAGAAGAGCCCTTTCAGGGTTAGAATAGTAATAACTGGCCCTTACCTGTTTAATTAAACCAGACATTGGAGAAATTGAGGCCCTATGCCATGGTCAAAAGCAGTTAGAAGTGAGGGTAACTTGATGGATGTGATAGCATGTGAGGCAAAATGCTTAACAAAGAGATCAGAAAGACAGGCAAAAGCCTGACTGAAGCCACCACAGCCCGAGTCAGCTGTATTCAAATCTGCATCCACCCAAAAGTCAAACTGAAGCGTTCACACAAAGGAGATGAGTTTCACTATGACCGTCCAGCTCTGCCTGCTGAGCACACTGGATGGAAGGCAATACGAGAACCAGCTGCAATGTGGCTAGAATAGTCAGAGTCTGGACTTCTCTAAATTGTACAGTACCAAACATCTACAAGATATGCAAACAGGAAAATGAGGCATGAGAAAAAAACGGGCAGCAGCAATTGGCCGTGAGAATCCACACATTGGCAAAGCCTTTAAGATACACATTAATATATGTGTAGTAGTAAAGTTGATGGAGACAATAAAGATATCACTATGTCTCATCAAATAGAAAACCTCACCAACAACTGTGATTTGTGTGTGGTTGAGTGTGTCCTCAAAGTATCCCCAGAACCTTACAAAGTAGAGCTTCATGGGAGGTCACTGAGGTACTGTCTTTGGAAGAAATTGATGTACAGTCTTTGAGAGAGTTGCATGAAAGTCAGGCTGGCTTCCCCTTTCTTGGGCTTTCTGGCCCTTCCTAAGATTGCTCCCGCAAGGAACTCCTAAAGTGGAATAAATACAGAGACACACCCACACACATCATGATGATGTTTGAAGATGAAGACAAAGGGAAAATCTTGACTCCAAGCACAGGATTAAACAGCTTGCCATACAGAACCTTCAAACATCTGACTTCACAGCAGAAATGGTTAGGGGCAGTAGAGGGACAGATTCAGTACTGGATGAAAAAAACTTAAGAATGTTACATCCAGAGAAAGTTTCAAAATTTAAGAAAATGAAACCATTCTCAGGAATACAAATTTTTTTGCCAGCAGATAGACTTCCCAAGAATATACACAGTAGAGGAAATACATCAACCAAAAGCAAGAGATCCTTACATGGAAATGCACAGATCTTACAAGAGCATCATTGAAGTTAATTGTGCACTTATAAAAAAAGATAAAAATGTGTATTTCTTCACCTTTGAGTGATTTTAAAAGCAATTGTATGCAATATGCATATAATTACATTGTTGGACTGTAAAAATCAGAAGAGAATCTTTGACTAAGAGAGGAGCACAGGGCTGGCAAGATAGCTCAGCAGACTAAGTGCCTGCTTAAGCAAGCACAGGGACCAGGTTTGGATCCTTGGCATGCCAGACCAGCCCTGCCCCCAGGCACACGAGCTGGTGATCCAGACCAAGTGTGATGGCGACCCTTAAGAGGAAACGTCAACCAAAAGCAAGAGGCCCTTACATGGAAATGCACTGCAGAGGCTGAAAACAGGATCTCCTCAGCACCAGGATTACAGTGTTCTCCACCGCACCAGGTCTCAGTGGCTGTCCCATGCATGGGTGTGGGGGCAGGGTCCACACGGCATGTAAGCGCTGCAGAGGCTGAAAACAGGATCACTATGAGTCCGAGCTGTGTTTGTGAGACAGTGTACCAAATACATTAAAAAAAAAAAAAAAAAAGAACACAAAGGAAATGATTGGAGCAGTGGTTTCCTGAGATCATAGGATGAAACTGGTCATTGGAATACCCAGGACCAAATGTATGA